GAAAATTAATTCGCGCACTTTACTTTCGGAGATCGCGAATTTGCCACTACGCGAAACGCAAAACACGAGGATAGAGCATACTTCGTTCCGCGACGCGTCTTATTTTTATAAAATATTTATTCCGAATCACTTATAAACATATTCCGAATATGATAAGGGATTCTTATAACCGTTGCGACCGTAGCATCAATTAATTCAAGCTTGTAATTTATAAGACTAGTTACAAGTAGTGATAAGAGTTAATACAAAAAATAATCGCGGTCAATTACTACTGCATATTTCAATTATAATTCATGCATCTAATTTTTTAAATTTCCTAAATTTAATCGTTACACTGATTGTAGCGATTTCATGATTTTAATCTATAGATCCAGCTACAAGCAGTAATCACGGTCAATATAAAAAATAATCGTTCTCACTGCCAATTATTATTACAGATTTCAATTAAGTGATGCATATCTCTAATTGTCTAAGCGTAATAATCACAATATTAATTATGGCACTCTCAAACTTCTAATCTATAGAAATCCAATTACAAATAGTTCTCACGGCTAATATAAAAAATAATCGTGATCACTGTCAATATTATTACATGTTTTAATTAATTTATGTATATACAATTTTTTATATGTAATAACAACAATATTAATTACAGCAATTTCATACTTTTAATCCATAAAACAAACTGTAAGCAACGATCATAGCTAATGTAGGAAATAACTGCGATTACTGCTAATTAGGCCTACTACTGTCTAATTTAAATTAATTCACGCACATAATCTTTTAAACTGATCACAACATTGACTATAGTAATTTCATAATTTTAATTTACTACAAACAGTATTCACGGCCAATATAAAAAAGAATCGTGCTCACTGTCAATTATTATCTCAATTAATTCATTCACATATGCAAAATCTTCTAACATAATAATCAGAATATTATATAATAACAATTTTACGTTTCTAAGCTACCAACAGTGATTGCGGCTACAATAATACAAAAAATAATCGCAGTCTCACTGTCAATTACTATCAGCATATTCCAATTCACTCATGTACTTTTAAATTTAATAATTGCAATTAACACTAACTACAGCAATTTCAAGCTATAGAATCAACTACAAATAGTGATTGCGGCTAATATATAAAATAATCGCGGACACTGCTAATTACTATTGGATATCTCAATTAATTCGTGCTTGCAACCTTCTAAATATGATAATCACAATTATAACTACCACAATTTCAGGCTTCTAATCTACGAAATCAACTACAAGCCATAATCGTGGCTAACAGAGAGCATTATCAGCGTAATTACAAATTACTGCATATATAAATGTACATATTACTGCATGTACAATTACTGCATATATATGTATATTGTCACTTATTACATATACAAAATTAGTATAGTTTATATTAAATACAAGTATTATATCAAATGTTACGTGTATGAATACTACACATTTTAATTAATAGACTTTATTAATGTATGGAAAATCTGTCACGCGAATGATACTACGGTCGCACGGAATTCATTTAACGGAATTGTCGTAATTTACATTAATGACACTGTATATTATATCCAACAATGCTACGATTGCACGAAGTGTACTTTGACGAATTTATCACATGATTGTGCTCCACATCGACACGATATATTATATCCAGTGGCGAATTTTCCCTGAAACACAATATAATTACAACTTAAACATCTGGCATATTATATCCCGGACAGCACCATGAATCCAAAATCAGGACATAACGTCTTTTAGACGTCTTTTTCATAGTACGTCTAAAAGACGTCTTATGTCCTGCTTTTGGACATGTGTGCTGTATTGGATGTAACGAAAATGCACCAATCGTACGTCAATCATGCTACGATTTTCTCGAAAAAACATAAGGGTCAATTTCGCGTGTCTACGGTATCGAAATATGTACTCACCGGGACGGTAAGCTGATAACGCAGCTCGCGACACGGTGCAGCGTCGGTCACGATCGGCGAAGCGGCACTGATCGCGAAGATCGGCGAAAACCTATACGTTCTGGCGGTCGCCCGTCACTCTAATCGGCACTCCCGACAAATATTCGCGCTCGCTATACACTATCAACGAGTAAAATCCGCAATTAATTGCGGAGCCGTCGCGCTTGCTACTTTCCGAACCGACGCTGCCAATTCATCATGGCGGGCGGGCGGGCGGGGCGGGGGCGCGCGGCGAAATGTTTCGAAATTGTAGTGCAATCAATTCAAATTCGCGAAATGGAAATTCGACGCTTTCTATGCGCTTATCAGCGAGTTATGATGATAAGCGATGGTTCGCTTGATGTTCGTTATAGACATTTGAATAGATTCTCGTGTAAAAGACGCGAAAGGGGACCAAACGTTTTCATTCAAATTCCAGATTGCCCCGAATAATTGCAACGCGAGCTGAACGAATCAGCGCATCGCGTGACATCGCATGATGTGACGTCACCGTAGGTTCACGTGAACATGACGTGATATAATTAAGGGAGTTTTTGCAATACCGTCAGATACGGTAAACGGGTGAACGTATCTGAATTGTTTCAGATACATTCACCATGTATCTGAACAATTCATATATGTTTACCGTATCTGAAAGACGGCATTACAAAAACTCCCTATTCACAGAAAATCATAAATCCGATGACATAAAATCGTTATAATACATGTTTATTTCAAATTTCTCTTGTAATATATGCTAATCTCTGTTTTTTAATGTATATTTTCTTATGATTTTATAAATAAATATTATTTCTTTCGCTTTTGTCTATCTTCCCCGCTTGCAGAAATGGATCTCTTTTCCGAAACATACTACATAAAAATTAAATAAAATACTTTATTAACTTTCTATCTCTCTCTTTTATAACGTTTTCGTACGTATCTAATCTATTAACAAAATCAGTAAGAGACGCTTTGTGCATAATTCATAAGTGCTTTCCAGTTTGACACAAGTCGACACAAACGTCGTTCTATCTTTCTTTGCATTCAATGAGTAACAAAGACAGAACAACACTTGTGTCAACTCATGTCCTTAACATAAATTTGAGAATAATACCAAGTTCAAGACTATATACGTATCATTCGTAGATTTGTCACAAAAAACGAGCACATTTCGGAATTACGATAAGACTCGAAAAAGATTCCAATAACTGAATATGAGACGATTTGACATAAAGCAATAGAAATCATTTTACAAGCCATTTTAATATCCAATCGATACAAATCTGAATTGATCGAGAGAGATTAATGCAAAGATATTGACGAGCTAGATGATATCACCCCTAAATGAACAACACTGAATAATTTTTCTATCGAACATTGAGTAAACAGATTAGATCAGGTTAGGTATAGGCATCCCGGTGTATATAAAGCAAATAGGTTATGTTGGTTATATTTGTGTACTACATATTAATGCACGGCATATTTCTCAAAACATATAAATTCTTGACTTTATGAATATTCAAGCAGTTGTTAACACTGTTTCTATAATGAACTTTCATTGCTTATGCGAATTAATTACAAAATTCACGATCTGCGGAATCAAACAATCGCGAGTCGCGATCAAGACTATATATGTTGCAATTGTTTTTACTTTGTTGATTAGTTAATTAAGTTAACGTTACAACGTTTTTGCATTTCTAATTGACATATCTATAAGAACAAAGATAAGTACTAATCAGCTGTAATTGATTATAATTATAGCGATTTTACATTTTTGATCGACAGTGTGACAATGGGTATGAATAGTAAATGTCATTACAATAATAATAATATACGACAAAATATATCTTGATTATTGCTAATTACGTATTTTAATTAATTTATCCGCGTAAAAAATTCAACGCAAGAATAATGCTACGATTGCACGAAGTTTACTTGATGGAACTACTGTTATAAAATCAACATAATTATTATATTCAACAGATCTTTCATTCATTGCAATAGACTTATATTTAATTCATATTAATTCCATTATCTTGAAAAAATAGCAATTTTAATAGCAACTTCATGAAAAAATACGGACTTGCTATTTAGCATGCTTTCTTAACTGAATTTTATAAGTGTCCAAGGTAGATCTGAAAACATTCGAAACGGGAAGAAAGTTCGTAAAATTGTATGGCTTTATGCATAAAGAATAATTAATACATGGAAACGCTCGGAATCGCCTTTCTAAACCGCCTCTTTCTGAAATACCGGTTTGGAGCTACTGAAACGTTGTTATATTATTTTCTTATGTAAATAATTATAAGCGTGCAATTAATACAAGAATATTAATACAATAATGTTAATGGAAAAAATTCTAAGCTAATCCTTGCAATTAATTAGTTTCTTTACTGCAATGCAACCGTGAATGCAACAAAAAGGTACTGCCAGCGTCATCTTTCGGAAAGTCTCCAAAGCTGTTCTCCACGTTTCTCTCATTCTGGTCGATATTCATAAAGAAAATCTTTTATACATTTTATTTTAAAGGGAACAAAATTATTATTATTATTATATCGCTTTAATAACTGTAACTAATCTTTCTATCATATTTATAATATAAATAACAATAAAATTTTCAGTGTTCCTAAAATAATCCATCGATGGACAGCCGATTGATATAATCTATCGGCGACTTATTAAATCGTATTATCGTTCGCTAGTTCTAAGGCTATATTTTTTATGTGTTTTTACATTCCTTATTTTTTTCTTTCTTTCTTTTCTCGTAATGTCAATTTCATCTAAAATGCAAAAAGTGCAGCGCAGTGCAACATGTGCAACTACAAAGAACACACCTACATTCGACAGTCAAATCAGCAATCGTGTGCTTCTTGAATATTTAATTCGTGTCATTCATCGCATCTACGTTTACGTCGCATCTACAATTTACGTCGCATTTATATTTACATGCGCGAACATTGGAGCCGCGAAACGCATTAATGATATCCAATTTGCGCCTCCGTCGCGTCGGGCTGCGACTTTGATTAGCGCATCAAAATCCGGCGACCATTGGTAGATGGCGCTCGTGGTGTAATGGCCTTTTCCTATTCACGCTTGCACGGACGAAGACGTGAACGTAAGTCCCAGGATAGAAATAGTCGTTTCGCCGGGGTAATTTCCTCGCGAGGTAGCGCGAAATCGGCGTCGTTGAGCGATCGAGGACGAGCGGGAACCGTGAGTGATCGTACAGGTGTGGAAAAGCGAGCGGGATTTCGCGCGAGAAGAGCACGCCCGGGACAGCGGTACATGTGACCGCGTGGCCACATGTGTTTTTCCAGTGTTTCACGCTCGTCGGACGGTCGGACCTTTTCATTGAGAAATTTAACCGAATTAGAGCGTTCTCCCCTCGTTTATGATCACCTTGTGACGCGGAACTGCCTCGTCCCGTATCGTCGACTTTTCCTCGCCGTTCACATTTTGGCATATCGGTCTAAACAAAGCAACCCGTCCCTCCCGAAAATATAAATATTTTCTTTTGATAGCTGTTAATGAATTTATCTGAATGCGGCAAATTTATTTCTCTTATCTATTAATAAATATTGCAAGGATTTATTGATATATCCTGGTTTTATATTCATAATTTACTGAGAGTCGTTTTATTTCTGTTGTATTTATTATATTTTTTAAACGGATTGGCATAGAAAATATTAGTCTAATATAGTTTAAAAATTATTTTTACAGTGTTACACAATTTTAGAAGTTACCTAAAATTTGATGTTTGGAGCATAAATATATTTTGGGACTGTAATTCAGAATACCAATAGAAAATCGTTATGTGGTTTAACAGCTTCCTCTTTTTCTTCAACAGATAAATAATGGATGAGAAAGAAGCCTTCGACGACATGGTGGTGGCAACCACAAATACATTGCCGGTAGCGATGCCGGCCGAACTGCCCGAGATTAAATTGTTCGGACGTTGGAACTGCGACGACGTACAAGTGAACGATATGTCTCTGCAGGATTACATTGCAGTTAAAGAGAAGAATGCCAAGTACCTTCCACATTCGGCGGGGCGCTACGCGGCGAAACGTTTCAGGAAAGCTCAGTGTCCCATTGTGGAGCGTCTTACGAATTCTCTTATGATGCACGGCCGAAATAACGGAAAGAAATTAATGGCCGTGCGAATCGTTAAACACGCCTTTGAAATCATTCACCTTCTCACTGGCGAGAATCCTCTGCAGGTGAGTTTACTACTTAAAGCTTGCTTTATGCCCGGTCTACAATCAGTCGTATGTCGGAGTCGGATGTCGGAACGTAGCCGATGATCCAATGAGGAAAATTCGTTTCCGAAAAAGAAATACTATCATTGGACCATCGGCTACGTTGCGACATCCGACTCCGACATACGACTAATTGTAGACCGGGCCTTACACTTAACTTTTGCATCTTTACGTGAATAATTGTATGTTGGAACGTCTTAAAGAATTTAATTTGAAAGTTTACTATTAACAAAATAAGATTTATCTTGATAATACGTCGCTTAGCACAAGTCATATTTAATTAATGTATATTTATGCAATTGCGTGAATGTTATTACACTTGTTTGATTTGAATATTTATGCTTCAGGTTCTTGTCACAGCCATCATCAACTCCGGCCCGAGAGAAGACTCCACGCGTATTGGACGTGCTGGTACGGTGAGGCGACAGGCCGTTGACGTATCCCCGTTACGTCGCGTTAATCAAGCCATCTGGTTGTTGTGTACTGGCGCGCGAGAAGCCGCATTCCGCAACATTAAAACGATCGGCGAGTGTTTAGCCGACGAACTTATTAACGCCGCTAAGGGTTCGTCGAATTCGTACGCGATCAAGAAGAAGGACGAACTGGAGCGTGTTGCCAAGTCTAACCGATAAACATAACTTTCTATATACGGAAAAAATAAATGAACGTTCTATCTTTAAATTGTTGGCTACTTGTTTCTTTTCGATCCACTATTTCTCATCGGGATATTTAATGATCTTTCTATGGTCTTTAAGAGATGCATATATTTATTTTAATTATTGAAATGCTCATGTTATTAATATGCATTGTTTAAGTTTCTTTGGAAACCTAATATCGAAAATAATATCAAAAAGCTGTCGCGCAGATTGCAATAAGCTTTTACAATAGTGCGTTCCGAAACTCATCGAGAGCGTCATCTTTCACCCGAATGAAAGAATACACGACGGTATAAATTTTGAGGTTAGAATACTGATGGAGTGAAGAGAGATCTCTAATATATCAAGTGTTAGATAATATTGCCCTGACCATGGCAGGTGTACTCAAAAAGGTAATTTTAATTCATGCGTGCAGCATGAATAAATTCGCTTAATTTAAGATATTATTCGTCACAATTCACGTTCACGTTGTATTCGTCGATTCTAGTATAAATAATAAAAATTCCTTACTGCAGGAACTCAGCATTCGCTTTATTAACACAATCGTCTTTCGTTTTGCAGTCTACGAATTTAAAAGGGTTAGCCGTTTGCGCGAATCCTCACTTGGAATTAATTCCGTTATACAAGAGAATTTTGAGAGTGCTACAAACGTTTCCGAAGGATTACGCTTATCGGAAAGAAACGGAGGGGATTGTTCAGAATAGACTGAAGATCATGCAAGAGGTGAAAATAATGTTCATTGAAGCGGCAGCAATTATTCTATGTAATAATTCTGTGTGCTGTTTCTGATTAAGCGTTATATTTCACAGAGAGAAAGCGTGCAAGATATAGAAGCCAAGATCGGTTGTGGACAGGTGGAGGAGCTTATAATACAGGCAAAAAACGAGTTATCGTTGGCGGAGAAGATGTTGATCTGGAAACCGTGGGAGAAATTAATGCAGGAAGCACCGCCCAACCAGTGGACGTGGCCGCCGCACAAATAATCCTAATTTGTTGTAGATATTTGTACATAGCACACACCTGATATCAATGCGAATGAATAGATTGTGCATTGTACCCTAGCTCACAATATTAACGCGCGTGACATGTTATTATTTAATAAATTTTCTCTGTAACTTCAGTCTTTTCGTAACTTTGCAGCTTAAAAGCCGGAATATAGCCAAGGATATAGTTGTAGATTGAAAGCACGGATCAATCCCTAAAATTTTCCTTGTCTTGAATCGCGACAGATACAGTTTCCAATAAAAATAGAATATTTTACGTTCGTTTTAAACTCGTGCATTTTCTTTTTTTTTTCTTATACTATAAATTGTGAAATTTCGTTGCGCAAGACGACTGCAAATGTCCATCGATTAAAATGTGATATTCCTTGAAACTTGAGTTCCTATTGTTTTAAGGCTGTAAAAATGCTGTTTTTTGTACATTTGTTTAGTCATTATCATAAATATAAGTTTGATTTGCGATTCAACATGCGTACATCATTTTTTCGACAGAATTCGAGTATAAAATCAATATTATTGGTAAGATAATACCGGAAATATTCACTAGATGACGCCACCGTGCAGTTTTGGCGTGTCTTGCGAATATTCGACGACGCAAGATGACGCGATCATGATCATGGCGTTGAGGCGTTTCACGTGTAAATAGTCGACTAAATGCATGCATTTTGCGCGATTTATTTTTATTGCAGATTAACTCGAGAGACACGCGGATGAAGAAAAAAGATTAAATACGGACTTTATAAGTTTACGCAAAATGTGCGTACGTAATTCTCGATATAGGAACATTAAAGTCAGTAATGGGAAAGTAAATACCAGTAGGGAAATAATATCTACTAATTTATTTAAATAACTGAGGTTCAAACAGCAGATTCTTATACAGAAGCCAAGTCGTTGGCAATACGTTTCCTTAACATCGACGACGTCGGCATTGTCGGCAATCACAGATCGTTAGCCATTATCTTATTGCGCGCCGGCTACATCGGCATATCTCGTTCTTTATTCCTTTTATTCCTACATATCTCTTGGCCCTAATAATCGCAAAACCGGCTGTCCGTTGTACGGTATCGCGGTGGTCCGTCCGAATCGTTCGTACGGATCGATCGTGATTGGGTTTTGCACACGGCTAAGTGCACCGGCGAAAAAACGAGGCGGTCGAGCGCGCGGGGGCCCGAGGCACCGTAATTTCCTGATCGTCCACCGAAACCTGACACGGGCGGTCTCTCTTTCTTTCTCTCTCTTTCTCTTTCTCTTTTTTTCCGTCCGCAAAGTGCACGTTGCCCGCAACCACGCTCCCGATTATTACGAAATATAAAACACACGTTGTTCGATATCAGCCTTAATAATCATTTAACTGCACGAGTAGCCCTTTAAAATGACCATAAACAAGTTAATAACGTTTATCATTCTCGCCGCATCGAGAATGGTTTCACATACGGAGTGTCGTGTGAAAGCGAGAGCATTTGATCAAAACTATAAAGAATGCGATGATTTTTCAGATATTAGATTTGTTTATGGCTTGTTGGATTTAAGAACGAAACGTGTATTTACTTGTGTAATTTATGTAATTAGGATCAACAAGCAGATTTTAAGCTGCATAGCTGTTTTTCTTCAAAGTTGCATTTTACGAATGGATTAGTCCATTACGCGGCCTGCAGTGTAAAGTTTTCTTTAGCAAATATCAAGATTGTTCAAAATTTAGTAATTGCATTGAAGACTGCAATGATTTTCTAAATACTACATAGATTTGATTAATATTTATATAGCAGACAGAAGGACGTAATGCATAAAGCTGGAAATTAAGACTGACAAACAGATTTTGGCTGTAATAATGCTCCTATCCCATCAGATATGCAATATGCATGTTACAAGTGGACCAGTCTATTTTTCGTTCTAAAATATACGGTCTTTAGACGATATTAACATATGTACTCTTCGATATCAACTTCAGTCGTTTAATTGCACAAATAGCCCTTCGAAAATGATTAAAACAGTTAATAACATTTAACATTTTGTTGTTGAATAAAAATCGATTCATATATATGCTGCTGTCGCAAGAGCGAGAGCCCTTATTCAAAACGAGATGCTCGTAATAGAGAATTATATGCTTTCCCAGAGGCCAATTAGATTAATTAATATTTGTTGAATTAAGAAGCAAATCATTCATAAGGCTTGTAATAGCAGCCAGCAAACCGATTTTTAACGTATATAGTCATTCAAATTTGGATTTTACGAATGGATCAGTCCATTTTTCAGCCTACGACATATACATATATGATTACGTATTTAGGCGATATGGATATACATATACATTCTTTAACATCAGTTCTAATAAATCTTTAATTGCACGAGTAGCTTTTTAAAAATGATTAAACAATTAAGTTAACGACATTTATCACTTTGTTGTATTGAGAATCGTTTCACGGGCTAGTTTCGTGAGAGTGAGAGCACTTGATCAAAACAATCGGAGATACTAATAACGAATTCCATGATTTCGTAGAACCTATTTAGATTTTATTAATACTTGTAATACTTTTAAGGAGCAAATAATACATAAGTCTTGAAATAACGGTCGGCAAACCGATTTTTAACGTAGTAGTACTTTCGTCAGAATTTGCATTTTCCGAATGGACTGGTCCATTCTGCGGCCTACAACATATAATTATTTCGATTCGTATGAACATATATGTACTGTATATGCATTCTTCGATATCAGTCTTAATGATCCTTTAATTGCACAATTAATAATTTAAAAATAATTAATCAAATTAACATTTATCATTTCGTCGTATTGAAAAACAATTCATGTTGTCGCGAAAGCGAGAGCACTTTATTATAGTCAAAACGAAATGCTCGCATTGAAGAATCCTATAATTTCTGCACAGAGGCTATTTAGATTTGATTAATATTTCTGAATTAAGAAGCAAATCATATAGGAATCTTGTAATTAGAGCCAGTAAACAAATTAACGTAGTAGTATTTTCTTTCAAATCTGCATTTTCCGAATGGACTAGTCCATTTTTCGGCCCCCAACGTATATAATTATTTCAACGATACGATAGACGCATTCTTCGATATCAGTTCTAATGATTCCTCAATTGCACGAATAGCTTTTTAAAAATAATAATTAATCAAGGTAATTACATTCATTGCTTTGTCGCATTGATTCATATATGCTGTTATCTCGAAAGCGAGAACATTTATTGTCAAAACTGATGAGCGCATTGCAATAACGGATCCAATGACATTACAGACGCTAGATTTCATTAAGGAATTGTTGGATTTATTATCAAAATGTTTATAATTACTGTAATTAGAACTAGCACGCAGATCTTTTGACACATTATTGCTCTATTATAAATTTACATGTTACGATGAATGGAAGAGTCCATTTCTCCAATGTGCATTTTTTTAAACAAATCATATCGTTTTATTGAGATTAAGATTGCATTATCGACTAAAATCGAAAATATATCAAAAGTCACGTTGCTATACATATTAATATGCGTGTATGGGACATTAACAGACTTTCTTTAATTAATATTTTTATTTTCGGTGGCATGGCTAATGGAGTTACTAGTACAGTAGCGAACATGACTTAAATTGAGCTGTCTGACACGCGATAATCACGCGATCGAAAGTCAACGCGTCATTGGCCGAAATTGCTATTAAAAATCGCAAGATGCGTTCTGAATTCTGATCTGTAATCCTTATGATTCCCATGCTCGCCCGCTTCTGATTGGTCGAGTCTCAATTTCCAACGGCGCAATCACAATTTTCAATCTAACGGTCTAATATACGGAGTTAAGCCACGGCGGTTGAGCTCGAGGACGCGCCACCGACCGCGGACCGCCTCGCGTCGCGTTATCAATCTCGTTTCCCGCGGAAGAGAGCCGTCCTTGCGTCCCCCTGCGCGAAAAAGTCGCGGCGCGCGAAGGAATAAGGATCCGCCACAGATCCGCGGAGTGCCCCGGGGGAGGCTGATAGAGAAGAGCGAAATGGAAAAAGGTGTACCGTTCTCCGGCGAGAGAGGTAAACGAGCGGGTGGCGTAGCTCAGGCGCGGGGCGGGCGGGGGGAGGGAAGGTGGTGCGGCGCGCTCCATCCCTACCACCGACGGGTCTCGGCTACGCGGCGCGGCGAGGTTGCGCAGCCCGCCGCACTCGTTCGCGAAACGCCGGAGCGACAGGTAGCGGTAACGTACGTCGCGCGCTCGCGCACTCCGCCCTACTCCTTCCTCCCCTTGCCGCCTCGTGCGATGTAAACACGGCACACCGCGTTCGGCAGGTGGTCGCAGCTGCGTACGCGCGCGCGCGCGGTGCGGTACCGTTTTTGCGCCGCGTGTTTTCGAGAACGCGGAAGAACGTCTACGAGGGGGAGGTTCCCCATCGTAATCGCGTCGTGATCACGTCCGCGTTTGGCAGTCGACAGTGATCGTGACAAGTGCGTGACATCCGTCCGGTCGTCCGCAGCTCGCCCGCGCGATCCAGAGCGCGTAGTGAATGATTTTTTTCACTCTCTCTCCAGACGGTGCAGTGTGATCTCCCGTGCTCCATCCGCGGACCTGGGTTCGCGAGTTCGAGTGTCGCGTCGAGGAGTTGCCTTCCCGGACACAGTTCGCTTTCCTCACCGTCTGAGACAGCCCGGCGGCGACGGCGTCGTGGGAAAGGGAGCAACGCCGCGGATCTATCGGTGAGTGAGTGATACTTAATTTTGCGTCTTTCGTCAAAGAGGATCGATCAACCGAGCGCTCGATCGGCACGGGATTTAAAACTCTTGAATTATGTGTCTCGGAGTAACTTTCCGTGTGTAGAAAAACGAAACGTTATTTGAGAATATATTGACGATTTCGCTTGTTAATGTTTGTAAAATTAGTGTTGGTCGTGAAAAAGTTTCGGCTTGTTAAACTTGTTTTTTTTATTTCATTAGAATTTTAGTTTTAGTTTGTCTTATTGTTAGATAAAAAAAAAACTTGACAGTAAAAACAAAGGTGATTAACGACAGAATTTAAATCGCGCGACTTGATAATTTATCATTGTCATTGACTTCGTGGTTGAAATTCAAAAGCGCGCGCGCGTGTCGAGCTTATTATTTTGCCGGATTATTTATTCCATTCACTTAATGTTTCCCCGCGTAAAAATTATTGTATCTCGGATTCGAGACACGCGCCTTGGTATACGTTGGGCGCAGGCACGTTTCTCTAAATAACGAAAGGATTAAAACCTTAAAGCACGGAAATAAATTATGCGCGCGCCGTTCGCGCGGTGCGCGTGAATGCATGAGTAATGCGTATTGAAATAACGCGATACACAATTAACATGCTGTGCCACACGCGCGGCATTTACCCGGAATAATTTCAATAGACAAATTGTCGGTTATTCGAACGCGCGCGTGCGCGCGCGCGTTCATGATATATTTCGCCGCAATGATTTACTTTCGCAGCGGTGGACGCGCGAATTTTTATCACCGGTCGCGATATTAGCGCACATCAAAACGACAGGATAGACGGGCATTAATATTAATGTGCAAAACGTTCCTCTATTTATCTGCAGCCGCGAACACGACGCGACGCGACTATTATTCACAAACGTTCACGACTCGCGAACCTGTCGCTATCGATATTATATTTTTAAAGAAAAATGTACCTCTCTCGAATTTCTCGAAAAGAAGCCTTGAAATATAATAAGAGAACTTACGAAAACAAATTAATCGCGACTCACGATCCATTTTTCGCTATTATGAACTGAAAGATTCAACATTGGGGGTGCTATATTTAATAATCTAGATTTAATAATCTCAACTCCGAAATTAATCTGTTCAAAAAAGTACGTTAAATTAAACAAACGTGGATATTTATATTATAAATAAATAAATATATATATATATATATATATATATATTAAATAAATATATTAAATAAATATATTAAATAAATATTAAATAAATATATATATATTTATAATATAAATATCCACGTTTGTTTGATTTAACGTACTTTTTCGAAGAGATTTATTTCGGAGTTGAGATTATTAAATCTAGCACCTCCAATGTTGAATCTTTCAGTTTATAATAGCGAAAAATGGATCGTGAGGCGCGATTAATTTCGCCGTGAAAATTGCGGCACTCGCACGTGGGCACGCGCATACGCTCGTTGACACGGCGAGCGGGTTGCACGCCCTATTTCCATTCGTACCTTCTCCACGCGTATCGCCGAGCACGTGTATTATACTTGTGAGAACACAGGTGATATCTACATACGCAACGGTCGTCCCGGGTCCGATTAGTTTTCGACTATCTCGCGTGACGTTGACCTGCTTTCGAAACGTTGCGTCGCGATACGTTTCTCATGCAGCTAATCAGGTTAATATCCGTTGGATATGTCGTTATCTTTAAATTTGTTTTTAGATAGACGTAGACGGAATGTTCATTTTATAGACTGTCGTCTCTCGCTCGACAAAACCAGCTCGTTTAGACGTCGTTGTGTTTCAGAATATTTCACATCGCTCGTAAATCGCTCCTCTTAATCGCATTTTAATTGCACCGAGCATAATTGTCGAACGTGATAAGCCACCTTAAAAATTTTTAAATCATAATATTCGGAAATAAAGAGAATCGGGAAAACGAAAGAGTGTGACAGCAAGGATGGAGGGTAAGCGAAAAGGGAAAGAGGAACGCGACATCCAGGCGATTCTCGCGATCCGTTTGCCGAGCCATCGATCGTTCGCGGTGACTATAAATCCCGAAACGCGCGGATCGGCGACCCATCGGGTCCGCGTTTAGTTATGGCCGTGCTTGTTACGCGCCAGAGTCCACCAGTCCAAGTGCGTCTTGTACGCACGAGCGTCTTGTACGCGTACACGCATACACGGCGATATCGCGTGCGAACATGCCTGCATGCATAAGTTAAGAAATGCGCCGAGAATTTTCATTGCGCGTGATCCGGATTTTTCATCGCTGCATCGGTAGCGTCGCCGAGGTGAAAATAGTTGTTTACCTATAATAATTCCCTTGCAGGTGATCAACCTCCGCTAGAGGCGGTTATTGCGACCATGCCGCGTTGTGGGAATGCGCGTCTAATTATCGTCGAGATTTACGGGTGTTTAAACGTGGGAAAGCCGCCACTTTTTGCATTACGTTCTAAATTTTTACTCATTTAGGCTAACGGCCGATTTAACCCCGAAAAAGATACGCAATTGTCGTATGCATTATGTCCAAGGGCTCAGTGAAACGTCTTTTTGTAGCTCATCTCGAGAAGAAAAACGTATTCATAATTAATCCGCTATCATTACCGCGGATTATCATTAATGGATCTCTTTTATCAAATATTATGACGGTTTGTCAGTTCGCAAAAAGTTCTGAGAAATTCGCGTGTCTTTGAATCTTCGAAACTTGTCTTGCCTTATTGTAACTGGGGGTCGAGTGCGGAGAATGCTGAATGAGAGGTTCGCAGTTAAAGGCTCGAGACTCGAGAAGGATCGACGGTAATTAATTTAAAGCTTAGAATGCAGAATCGAGAGTTACGATATTTACAAGGATTTTCTCCAAACTGCTCCGTTTAAAATAAAATTACTGTGATAGAGAACTTGTGGAATGTGGTAGAATTATTTTGCAAATCTGGTCGAGTCTTTTCGTGTTTTCTCGTGTCTTGGTTTTTTTTTCACAGCGGTGAAAGACAGACGCAGATTGCGATAGATATTTCCAGATAAGAAGAATAGTCGCGCGGCGGGCGATATTCTAAGACGGAAAACAATGCCGACGGAGATGAGCGCATCTTTCCGCTTGCAGCCAAACACAATGCGCGATTTTTACGAGCACCGGTCGGCGGAGGAGATGTTATAGCTTTCGCGGTATAACCGAATGAGAAGTAGCCGCGGACGGACAGCTGAAAAATTTCGCACGGTTATATCTCCCGTACGAGATTCTTTGGTGCGCGGCTCGCCTATAAATGTCGTATTTCGCCGCGACTTACTGCGTTTCGGAATGTCGTTTCCTTCCCTTCGTCGCATTCCGCGAATTTTCCACTCCACATTTACTTTCCCGCACGTTGAGATAAATTAAGTCGGGAGTACTTTTACCCCCCATTACTGCAGCCAATGATCTCACTCTGGCAGGTGGCCTGTTTCTTTAGGATACTCCGTGATAAGTTATCACTGTACACCTCTCGAAGCATTTTGTTATACATTTCAATTTTCCGCAAAACGTCTCGAGATAAATGAGGGGAAAAAAATGTTGCAGTTAGTCGCTACGTCAGCGAGACAAGTCCCTCTCCATTCGACTGTAGACGAATCGGGCCACGATTCGCCGATTAATTTGGCGGAACCGGTGCGCCGCGGAAACGATGCGCGGATCTGCGATCTCTGGTCGACAGAGTATGGAAAATGACCGCGGAAAGGTAGCCCCTCCGCATTGGTAGAACGTTAACGTGCCGTGACGTTGCCCCGTTAGAATACTCGGCGGCGGGCGGCCTACCATCGCGTTCGTGCGCCGATCGTGAACTTTATATTTGCTCTCCTCCCGTCGCGGTCGTGCCGAATCCGCATCTCGCCCTCCGCATCTCCGCCGGTCGACCGTCCGCGCGATACCCATCTTTTTTCACCAAGTTACGGTATCCGCCGTGGTTCTCGTACCGAAATTCGTGCCCTCCCTTCCCTCCTTCCGAAAAATTCATTATTCACACTCGCAAGCGTTCTTTTTCACACCTCGCTTAATTTAACGGACGCGAGTTAACGCGGCATAACGCAGACGTCGTGCGAAAGTTTCTGTCAGCGGGCCACAAAATACAGGTGTTCTTATTTTACATATTGTGTGTACGTACTATTGTCTTTTGATTGTACTTGTATTGTATCACGTGGAGGAAAAGATGTTATTTGTGCATTAGTTACCTTATCGTGCCGTGCGTCTCAGTCGTTCGTCTTGCGAAATTGTATAATTCTTCATTTTAGTCGAGAGCGATATGATTATTCCTGATATTCAAAGTTTACGCGTGCCTGAGAGGCATCGTAAATCCAGATAGCGTGAATCAATATAATAAATCAACGGGTAATATAACCGCGCTTCGTGAATTCACCGCGTTTATACATACCGGTTAGCGTCAGAATTAATTGGATACGTGTCGGGAACGTATAGCGATGCGCGATTATAGATTCGTAAGCGACACGAAATGAATTCGTGGAGCATCCTGAAACCTGAAATGCCGCGTAGCGGTGTTTCGGAGTATATGCTCGGAGGTCAGAGGTGAGACGAAAATTGAATGACCGTCGCGAATGAAACGTTGGACGACGGAGAACATATTTTGGGAGAGTCACGACGATGACTGCTGTACGCCGGAGTTTCTCGACGAAAGACCGAATCTGAATGGATGTCTGAATGGTAAATCAGTAAAGGTGTCGTGCGTATCAAATATGTGACGGTTGAATTAAATGGCGACCCGCTGTGTTTTCGTCATCCGACTTTTGCGTATTGGCGACGAGAAGCTGACTGCGCACCCAAGGTGATGTTTCTTAAAGATTATAGCTGCGCGTGTCATCATCAAAGAATTGATGATCGATTTGCTTATTGAGTTTACATATCGCGATCTATCGACGTGACTTGCACGTTGCTTGGATAAAAGTCTTACGTAATACTAATGCTTTTACACTTTTTAAATGTAAATTTTGTGTCGACATTGATATGGCAAGTTGAAAGATGAAGAC